AGAGAGAGAGAGAGAGAGAGAGAGAGAGAGAGAGAGAGAGAGAGAGAGAGAAGATACGAAAAAAGGAGGGGGGTGGAGGGAAGAGAGAAAAAATCTATACAAAATTCTACAATCGTTCATACCTACCTGCCTATGTACTACACACTACCGCGAATCAAACATTACGAAACAATCTAACACGAAAGAAAATCAAAACAATAAAAGAAACAGGCTGAAACTCACAGAAAGTAAAACAAAAAGTTACAACTATCTACATATGAAAAAGACTAAGCTTAGACCTACTTTGAAAAAAATAATAATAATAAAATGTGACCTGGGCTGCAGACAGTTGCCGGTGTCTCCGTTGTTCATATGTCTTGGGGTGTGGAAGCCTGATAAGAGGCACGGATAGTCTTATAATATGTGTCACAACGCGGTGGAATCAGGCGCTCGTCAATTTTTTGGGCATGGGAAGTTATTGGTATCACCTGAAAGCTGATTTATTTACCTAGATTCCAAGTAAATAAATATCTATTTATCATGGATGGAACTCAAGATATTTGCGATTGAAGGAACTGGAGTAGCATGGTTTCAGAGGTAAAATTATCGAGAAAATGGCCTCCAAAGTTTTGTAACTTCTATAGATTGAGAGTTCTTGAGAACTGAAATGTACATATGTTGTGCCATTATTCAACGTTTTTCAGTAAAATTCACATGGAAATGACCTTTTGAATGAACATAAAAGGTGTTGTGCCAAAAAAAAAAAAGCATTTTATAAAAATTGTCAAACTGGCAGAAAAATGCCTGTTTCTTCGATTTCATTATTTTGACGAGCGCCTGATTTCTCCACAATGCCTCACATATTGACAAATCTGTCACTGGGTTGCAGGTAAGCAACGTGAATAACCAGACTATCAACTAATTGGTTGCAGGTTAGCAACGTGTGTAATAATACTACCAACTAATTGAATGAAACATTGAAAAATTGAGGTACGGAGAGGGTGAGTGGGGGGTGAGGGAGGGCGGACGACAAATACTTGTACAGTTTCCGTTCAAGTTAGATAAAAACCAGGCAACGTAAAAAAAGTGGTAAACTGGTTCAAAACAACATTACAGTTGGGACCCCTGTCACTGTAAATTTTTTCAACGGGTTATACACCCGAGGCAATTTTAGCTATTTCAGGAGGCGGGCTTCGACCCCGTCTGTCAGATCTCATCCGGGCTGAGATGGATAGAATGCCCCAGCTTATTATTAGGCTAAATATTCCACTTTTTTGGACAAGCTCACTTTGGAGACCTCTGAACTGATTACTAATGGTCCTATCAATATGAAAACTTCCTAGCTGTAAAATTCCTCGTCTTCTATCCCTTTTGCCTTTAAAAAAATCGTCTAGGTAGCATAGTTTTGAAAGGTTTAAGAAAATAAAGTGGTCCACAAATTCAAGATGGTTGCCGTTTCCTTGGTAACAGATAAATTAATGAACTGTTAGAAGGTGTAGATTTTCATTTCTCCACATACGTATCAACATTTACCAATACTAGCTTTACAGGTTCTCTGGCTAAAAAGTTGGTTTTCAAGGTAGCCCTTCAAGACCGATAAACTCGATTTCCTCCACACGAGAATCAAACTCGGGTCTTCTGTGTGCGACGGTGACGTGTCTAACTACTACTGACTTCGACTAGAGGATGCATATTAGAAGTCCAGTCTGGTTTTGTTGCGTGGAGTGTAGGGGAGTCCAACACGGTCTTCTTTTAGGAACTCCATCCAATCATAAATGGGCGAGATTTATTGGTTCAATTGACTTATTTGGATTCGCATACATTTGACTTGGACAATTACTATTTAATAATGTTCTAGAACATATAAGACAAATGGGTACCAACATATAACTATCAAGAGGATTAGAAGAAAGCAGTTCTCCAAAGTTTCCAAATTCTTTGTTCAATTATTCAAAAGGTGTATGTGTTACGACGCGGTGAAATCAGGCACTCGTCACTTTTTGGAGATGTTGGGTTATTGCTATAATCTCAAAGCCTGTTCATTTGTCTTGTTTTATGTGGAAAAAAGTATCCATCTATCTTGAATAAACGTTGAGAAATTTGTGATTGAAGGGGATGGGGTGGCTTTAGTGTCAGAGGTAAAATTAGCCAGAAAATGAACGCCAAAGTCTGGTAACTTCCAAAGATTAAGTCGCCTTTGAAACGGCAAATTTTCATTCTTTTGAGGCTTCGACCAACGTTTTTCGGTAAAATCTGAAAAGAAAGGTGTCTTTAAATTTTAATAAATGGTGTTGAGTTAAAATAATAAAATTCCAACAACAAAAAATCCCCGACGGCCATAAATATGCAGGTTTCTTTTATTTCAGTAGGGTCTATATTGACGAAACCCTGATTTCACCACGATGCCTCACATTTGTAATCGATCCGTGCCGAGGTACCGACAGACAGTCATGTCCCGTTCCGGTTTTACATGGAAACTCTACCAGTGTTTATCTGCTGCCACCCCCCCCCCCTCCCCTTTTTTTCTTTTTTACCCCTAATTATGCAATTCTGATAAAGATTGTTGATTGTGTAGATAAACTTCAGGTTTTCAAAACCACTTATTCGTGTCCAAGAAAAGCCTAGAAATCATTCAAAATCGTACAAAGCCTTACTACGAGCGGGAATTATTTGCAGTTGTCAAAGGTTTTTAATTTTTTTATTATTATTATTATTATTCATAGTCAAACATTTTTACATGAAAAGTGCCCTGTACACCAAACTAATACAACGTGAAATCAGGATAGCAACAGTTCTGAGAGAACTAATATACATGTAATCCGTAGTTCTTGAATACTGTCAGCCCTTTTTAGACAGAGTTTAGTCTCACAAAAGAAAAACTTAGACGAATGTCCTGTGTTTTGAAACCTACAGCAGTATAGGTACAACAAGTGGCAAAAATTGAGAAAATCGAAAAGATCTAGAAGGCGAGAGCAGGAATCCACATCATAGTATTACACCTCACAAAAAAGACAAACATTTATAACACAGATCAGGAATAGAAACGTCCCCCGATCTCTTTTAAAAGAAATGGGGAGAACAAAAAAAAAAAGAATTATTTTACAGTATGCTTCTTTGCGTATCAAGCTTCCTCATTCATCCCAAACGATCCACATCCCTTTTTGCAATACTGAAGATACATTTCTACTCCTCCCTGCCCCCCCTTTTCCCACCTTTCCACCTTTTTCAATTTGGCTTCGTTCAATATGCTTCTCTTTTCTAGAAGAGCCAACAGGCTATTTGGAATGTCACTTCTAGGTCCTTTTTCACTCTCGATGTCCTTTTTTTCTCAATCGATCTAGCTTTTCCTTAGCAATACATGGCAATGCTGGTCAGACAGTCAGACAGACAGACAGACAGACAGACAGACAGACAAACAGACAGACAGACAGACAGACAGACAGACAGACAGACAGACAG